GTAACACTGCTTCTTGGGGCCAGAAGTATTTTGCCAATGTCCCTAGTTTTGGCTTCATTGCAATCCACAAAACGTGTGCTAAATCCAGTAAGCACCCTCCTGTGCTCATTTGATGCCTAAATTTTCAGGGACAAATCATTCCTTGGTGCCCATTTTTCTGCCTCTGATGCAGTGCTACCTCCTTCTAGGCACCCAGATGTTTATCTTCAACCTAAGCCTTAAGAATGTACAAACCAGGGTAAGATAGGCACTTTGGAAAAGCCAATTTGGAAAGGTGAGCAGGTTTACCAGAGTGGGTCCCACTCAAAATTCAAATGGAGGTGATACCAATGTTTCCCGAAAGCTGTGTGCTTGTAAGGATGCCAAGGTCACCCAGCTGATTAGCAGAGTGCCCACAGCTAGGTTTGGTATGTCTATTGATGGTGTACCTTCACACATGATTCAGGGCACACAAAATTTATTCCACACATGGTTGGAAAAAATCTGTGTATGGATGGAAAAGATTACAGGGAACCCATATTGTAACTTTCAACTCCCTGGTTCGACCACTATCCTAGGTTGTGGGAAAACCAGACTCAATTTTCTTTTCTGTTGCAATGAGAGAGAGAATTTGAATGGTGGGGGTTAGGGTCTGTCACCTCTGAGGGGAGTGCTTAAACACAAGTTTAAAATGTATAAGTTGAGCACCTCTTTCGCTAGTGATTTTATTTGGTGTGTGGGAGATGACTAATTTGTTTCTGCAAGGCTCCTAAATTGTCTGATATTCATGTATGACTAAACAGAGATAGTCCTTTCCCTCCAGCCTAGATAGCACTTTATTTCAAAGGGAGGGGAGGAGATTAGCAATTGCCCCTGTCATCCCTATTTTCCCTTGACTAGCTTTGACTCTGCGCCTTGTGAATGTGCTGGCTTTTTGTGAATTGTATTCTTAGATGCCTGTCTCTTCCCACTCAACAGAGGGAGCCTATTTGTCCAACTTGGCTTTGTGGACTACAGTGTTGTTCCTCTGATTCCTGTAGGCCCTTAATAGTGAGGCTTTGTTTATTTGTGTGATTGTTTTTAAGTTCCATTTAGTTTCATCTCCTAAAACCAATTTCATCTGCGCTTTCATTTCTTCATATTACCAATTGTAAGGACTTCATTTCTTCAGTTAGGGTATGTCTACACAGCAGTGTTATTTCAGAATAACGTATGTTATTCCAAAGTAACATAGTCCACATCTACACTACAAGCAGTTATTTCGACATAATGTCAAAAAATGTCGATCTAGAGGACTACTTACTCCAACTCCTCTAACCCTCATTGTATGAGGAGTAAGAGAAGTTGAAGGAAGCGTGCTCTTCCTTGGACTTCCTGCTGTGTAGACAGCGCCAAAAGCCAAATGAAGCTATGCAATTGATGGAGCTCAAGTTGCATAGCTTATTTTGGCTTTAGCCCTGCAGTGTAGACGTGTCCTTAGTGAGTATGAAAAGTTTCCTCTATTTAATTTCTGATCGTGAGCAACATCTTGATTTCATTTTGTCAGAAACTGCAGCGTTGAACTGTATTGTTTAACAAGGGAATGCCCACGTAGGAATAACACATGACACTTTCAGTGACCCTATTTGACTCCTTTTTTGGGGGAATATTTAACATATTTAGTATTGTATTTTCAATTTCAGATGCCATAAAAGTCAAGAGGTCATAACACATGGTGCTTCAACTTATTCAGTGGATAAGAATATATGAAAAACAGAGCTTCAAGGTATTTTACAATAAGTAGAAAAATAAGTACAGTTTCCTAGCCAAAGACATGGGGTTCATTTTCTTTCTGTCTCTCTTTAACATTCATCTAAAATATAACAAATAGATATATCCTGAGGCAATGACAAGTTGGGGTCAAAGAGAGAAATGCATGTTAGTAAAAGCTGGCAGGATATCAGTGGTAGAGGGAATGGAAAGCAAAGACACAGAAGAAGAACACGCTGAACTAAACACATATAAATCTATAACTACAGCAAAATCCCACTCAGCATTAAGATCCTTACGCACGGAGAACAATAAAGCCAAGGGAATGGACTGACATATCCCAGCCCTTGTTCATTAGGCTCTTAAAGAAAATACTCATTTTGGTGTATCTATGTCAATGTGATTGGCACATACAAAATATCATGTTAACAGAAGAGCCTTCTGTAGCAAAACCAAAACCAATAACCAGTGCAGCCATCATAACGCATACACCATTCACACAAGTGGACAGGCTATTTCATTGTCTCTCCTTTTGTCTTTCCCCATCCCACTCAGCACAATTCTGCATGTGTTATTCAGGTAAAATTCTTGTTGAAGATGTTGGGAGTTTTGCCTGCCTCATGTGCAGGACTGGGCCCTGAGTTGTCATCTCCAGTTTTCCTTGTTTTAACTTAGGGCCAGTTCCATGGGCAGCATGTATAAGAAGCAAGGGAAGGCTGTGCCTTCCCAAACTAGCAGGCATGGCCCCTCCCACACTCCACCCCCTGCTTCAGTGTGGCTCCCAGGATACCCCTACTTTTTCAGCCTCGCTGGGGATGCTGGGGCAGTGCGCTCTGCCTGTGCTCCAGGGCAAGAGACTGGGACCGCCTGTCTTCCCCCTGCTTTGGGGCTAAGGAAGCTGGGACCTTACTCTTCCTGCCTTCCTCATGTTCTGGGACTGGGGAGGCCCACATGGGAGGCTGGAGGCTTGCTGCTGCAGTGGGAGGGGTCTGGCTGTGATGGGAGGCAGGACTTTGGGCAGAAGAGGCAGGGCTGTGGGCTCGCCTCCCCTATCCCTAGGTTCACTCACCACCCTGGCCTATTTGTAATATTTAGAACTGTCCTTTAAGCAGCAGAGGGATCTATATATGCTATACGCTATCCTCTGGTGAGCTAAGCCTGTATGTCAGAATGGTGAGTAGGAATGTGTGCAAGGAGCTGCCTATTTTCTCCTATTTATCACCACTTTTGGGAGACTGTATTTCTTGGGGCCACATGGAGGCAGCAATCCCTAGGCTCTCATGAACGCAGGGACTGCAACGGGAACGTAAGTAGATGGTGTAAAGAAGTAGAAGGATCCTTGAATCTTGCCATGCCTTTAGGGAGAGGTACAATCTGGCTCTTATATGGTAATCTCTTTGGAGCAGGAACTCTCTTTTTATTTCTTTTGAAACTAAGTACCATGAGAATAACTGGTGCTATATAACCAATGCACAATAAGGGCACTTGTTAAGGAAGTGAATCAGTACAGATCAGCTATACCTACTACTGTAATTTAACAACCCCATCTCCAGTTACAACATTACATTTCCTTTGGCACTTTCCCATTAAGTACTTAACACGCCCCGCTTAGTTTATCTGACTTGATTAGATCTTAAATGAGTATGACTGCTTAGTTTATGTGATATGGTCACAGCTCAAAGAAGTTTGACTGCCGACTAACTTGCATTATTGCATCACCCCCATTTGTTGCTATTCTTATCTTTTGTGTAGTTAGATGAGCTGACTCAATTAGATGCACATGGTACCTTGTGAGTCATTGCACTAACATGTAAATATATATGTGCACCCTTCCTTCATTTCAGGTATGTGTATGCTAGAAATGCAAAGAGCCACAAATGCAACAGATGTAGTATACGCACATCCTATAACAGTGCAAGGAGTTGTTCTAATATGGTAGTAAATCCATCTCTCTGAGGCCTGTGCCATGCTAGAAAATTAAGTGGGCTTTCTTACATTGCTTAGGAGTATGAAAAATCCACAGACCTGAGCAGCGTAATTAGTTAAGCCAAATTAACCCCCTTTGTAGACAATGCACGGTCAGTGGAAGAATTTTTCTTTCAGCTACCTACTGTCTTTTGGCGCAAGTACTGTCTACACTGAAGCAGCGGTGCATCTGTAAAGCTGTATTATTGCAGGTATAGATGAGCCCTGACTGGTGTTAGAATTCTTCCATCAGCCTAGTGGTGTCTATATCAGGGCTTGTGCTTGCTTATTTACATTGCAAAAGGTGTGAAATTTTCACAGCCCTGTGTGATGTAGTTAAGCCAACCTAACATTGTAGTGTAGACTGACTCCTAGTCTATGTCTCTACACTACAGACCTTACAGTGGCATGGCCATACCACTGCAGCTGTATAGCTGTAAGTTTTCCTGTGTAGCCATTCTATGCCAGTGGGCGAGCGCTCTTCTACCAGCATAATTAAACTACTCCCCATGAGCATTGGTAGTTATGTTGGGGGGGAGGGGGATGCTGTGTGCTGACAGCACTCTCCACACCAGAGCTTTGTTGGTGAAATTATGTCAGTGGGGTGGAGGAGAGGTATTTTTGCACACCTCTGACTGACAGAAGTTTTGCTGACAAAAGTGCTAGTATACAAAGCCTGAGTTTCATTTCTCATTTCACCTTTGTCCTCCTCATTCCACTCAGCACAGTCCTGAACATTAATTGGGCAAAATGCTTGTTGAAGTCAGTCCGCTACAAATGAGAACATCAAGGCAAAGAATAGTATCAAAGGGGTAGCCATGTTAGTCTGGATCTGCAAAAGCGACAAGGAGTCCTGGGGCACCTTATAGACCAACAGATGTATTGGAGCATAAGCTTTCGTGAGCAAAGACCCACTTCATCAGATTCATGTAGTGGAAATTTCCAGAAGCAGGTATAAATATGCAGGCTAGAGATAATGAGGTTAATTCAGTTAGGGTAGGTGAGACCCACTTCTAGCAGCTGATGTGGAGGTGTGAACACCAAGAGAGGAGAAACTGCTTTTGTACTTGGCTAGCCATTCACAGTCTTTGTTTAATCCTAAACTGATGGTGTGAAATTTGCAGATGAATTGTACTCAGCAGTTTCTCTTTGAAGTCTGGTCTTGAAGTTTTTTTGTTGCAGGATGGCTACCTTTAAATCTGCTACTGTGTGTCCAGGAAGATTGAAGTGTTGTCCTACAGGTTTTTATATACCTGTATTGCCATTCCTAATATCTGATTTGTGTCCATTTATTCTTTTATTTAGGGACTGTCCAGTTTGGCCAATGTATATAGCAGAGGGGAATTGCTGGCACACAGGGCCTGCTGGAGCCATTCCTGCGCCCCGGCTAGCGGACGCGCGATGCATGTGTGGCTCCGCCCCTGGGTGCATGGCGCATGCTCGGTCCCGGCCTCCGGCGTGCTGTGCTCCTTACAGTTGCAGTTGGGCGCACGGCACCTGATTACAGCTCTAAGGGGCTCCATGCAGCTCCCGGTCCCGGGCATGTGGCACCTGATGGCAGCTCTAAGAGGTGTCGTGCGGCCAGGCTCACGGCACCCCTTACAGCTGCCATCAGGCACCCCCTTAGATTGGTGCCCTGGGAAGCTGCCTGGCTACGGGGGGGAGCCATTCCTGCGCCCCGGCTAGCGGACGCGCGATGCATGTGTGGCTCCGCCCCTGGGTGCATGGCGCATGCTCGGTCCCGGCCTCCGGCGTGCTGTGCTCCTTACAGTTGCAGTTGGGCGCACGGCACCTGATTACAGCTCTAAGGGGCTCCATGCAGCTCCCGGTCCGCCGGCTGGAGCCATTCCTGCGCCCCGGCTAGCGGACGCGCGATGCATGTGTGTGCCAAATTTCAAAATATAGCGATATTTCGAGTCATCCCTTACTCCTCATACATGAGGTTTAAAGGGATGGCAAAATAGCATATCGGCTATCTTTCGAAATAGCAGACGTACATGGCAGAAGGACATTGTTGGCACATGATGTCATATATTACATTGGTAGATGTACAGGTGAATGAGCCCGTGATGGTGTGGCTGGTCTGGTTAGGTCCTGTGATGGTGTTGCTGGTGTAGATATGAGGGCAGTTTTGGCACCATGGTTTGTTGCATGGATTGGTTCCTGAGTTAGAGTTACTGTGGTGTGGTGTATAGTTGCTGGTGAGAATTTGCTTCGGGTTGGTGGGTTGTCTGCGGGCGAAGACTGGCCTGCCTCCCAAGGTGAGGGATCATTGTCCAGGATGGGTTGTAGATCACTGATGATGCATTGGAGAGGTTTTAGCTGAATTCTGTAGGTGATGGCCAGTGGTTTCCTTCTTGGGCTTGTCTTGTAGTAGGAGGCTTCAGGGTACATGTCTGGCTCTGTTAATCTGTTTCCTCACTTCTTTGTGCAGGTATCATAGTTTCAAGAATGCTTGGTGAAGATCTTATAGGTGTTGGTCTCTGTCTGAGGGGTTGGAGCAGATGTGGTTGTACGTTAGTGCTTGGCTGTAGACAATGGATCGTGTGGTGTGTCCGAATGGAAGCTGGAGGCATGAAGGTAGGCATAGCGGTCGGTAGGTTTTCGGTATGGGGTGGTGTTTATGTGACCATTACTTATTTGCACCGTGATGTCCAGAAAGTGGATCTCTTGTGTAAACTGGTCCAAGCTGAGGTTGATGGTGGGGTGGAAGCTGTTGAAATCATGGTGGAAAGACAAAGAATGAAATCCTGGCCTCCTTGAATTAAATTGTAAAACTCTCATTGGCTTTAATTAAATCAGGATTTCACCTAAGGTGTAAAAAACATTAAGGAGGGTCCTTTGTCATAACAAAATCAGGCATCCTCAACTATGGCTTGTTTGTATAGATATTTTTTTCTTATCCATTACATTAAATTAATTTAAATTAATTTAAGTTAAACTTCCAAGAATAACGTAATTAAAGACATCTAAAGAAGATAGCTAATATAATAGGCCTAATGCTCTGAGACAGTCACCTAATGAACATATTTTATCAATAGTCTTTTAAAT